CTACTATTACAAATTACCATCTGCAGTGCAGTAGCTTAGTTCACAGGTATCAGTATATATAGTTAGTCAGGGTGAGAATCTTTCCAATTAACTGCTACCAGATTTACTTTTGCATTTGTGTGAAGCTCATATAGCTTTTTGTTGAAGATTTAATCATGGAAAATAATTTATTTGAGAACATAAAATATAATTCACTATTAATTTCAGTCTGACCTAAGACTTTTTTCTCTGAAAAATCTTTTTGTTCTAAACCTTTTTTTTTTTTTTTTTGCGGAACCGGGGATTGAACTCAGACCCTTGCACTTGCCAGGGAAGCGCTTATTCCACTGAGCCATCTCCCGGCCCCATGTTCTAAACCTTTTAATATCAGAAGTGAACCAAGAAACTGGAACCAAATACTACATGCCCACCTGGAATCCTCTTTTCTCTCTAGCCTCATGTTGTATATGAGTCTGTGTATTGTATGCCCTTGATCATTTAAAGTGGATTGTCCTGATTGCTGCCTCCCTGAATTTGGGGATGAATACAAAGACCTTCAGTGCACCCGTATTTTTTTTTTTTCTAAGATTCTAATGAAACTAGTTGCATATCAAATTAATTATATGCAGGAAAGTAGTTGCTGATTTCTTTTACCACATAAAGTCTTAGTGGGCTTGAGCTCTTCATTTTTCTTTCAAGTTAGATATGAAATTCCCTGACAGTGTTTTTATTGGTATCTTTAATTTTGTCATACTGTCTGAAATGTGACAGTAATTAGAGGAACATTTGGAGAACAGACATTTTAACAGTCATATTTCAGTCTGTATGGCCAGTCACTTTATAACTTTTGACTCTCCTAGAAGAGCACATTATAAAGGCCTGGGTTTTCATTTTATTCCTTTTTTTTAATATATAGTTTACTTTTTCATTATTTTATTTATTATTTTTTAATTAAGAAATATGAGACAGTTTCACAGCTGATTAATAGGACAGTTTTGATAATCAATACAGTGTACATTGTTATCTTCTTAGTGGTTATCCATAGTACAAGAAGCAGACAGGATGTTCTGTCCAAACACTGTTAGTACACCTCTTTCTTCTCTTTGAATTAAGCAAAAGTAGCTGTAAATTTATCCTAATTATTTTGTATATATAAATACAAAATGATCATTCTTTTTCATTTTATTCCTTTTTTCATTTTAGT